AAAATTTATTAGGGCATAAGCCTGCATGGACCCGAAGAAGCGGGATGGAGTACGCGAAAGCATATGTCTAATAAATTTGTTAGTCTCTAAGGTGCCACAAGTACTCCTGTTCTTTTTACGTTGACCTCTGAATGTGTATCTCGTAACGTGGAGAGAAAAAACAGCAGCTGGATTAGACACGATGGTAAAAATAACTGTCTTGTCCTAGACTTACTGGTACAAGTGTTAGATCAATAGTGAGGTTTTCTGAAAATTCTCAGCATAGGTACACCCAGTGTGGATGACTGTCATATGTTCTGTAGACCATGCAACAGTAACTGCACTCAGTGAGCCTTGCCCATTCAACCTTCTCGCAGTGGCAGCATTCCCTCTCTAGGCACTGAGACCTATCCCTTTTGCAGCTTGTTCCTGTGTAAACAACTTCTGCAGAAGGAAAAGGAATTAGCCTCTCCTTTGCATTGCAGCAAGCACATTACAGACAGAGTTAGCCACAAGGCAATATTTTGACATCATGATTCACAATCTGCAACCTCTTTGAAGCTTGTTGCAAAAAGAAATGTACTAATCCTAGTCAGTTTCCCTCTGTGTGAAGTACACAAGTATTGCACACTGGGCAGGAGGGAAGAGGGGAAGTTCCAAAGACACTAGTTCATTTCCCTTTGTAGTCCCTTCCATGGGTTAAATGCTTCTAGTCTGCTGCCTCTGCAGAGATGCAATTAAAGCCGAAAAAGGAGACCAACAGTTATAAAAGTGGGTTTAAAAAGAAAAAGGGAATAAAGTGGGGAAAAAATGCCCAGAGGGAAAAGGCATGGAACCACAAAAAAGTGTGTGTGTGGTGGGGGACACAACAACAAAAAAGAGGAAGAACAGGAAATGCCAAAAATACAGAAGAAAGTGGCAAGGGTAGGGGGTAAGAGTGTGCACGGGAAATGTAATGACAGTTTAGATTTCTTTCCAGATTATATTCCAGGAATCCTAGGAGTACTACAATCTTTGTCTAAAAGAAAATTAAGGGAGGTTGCTTCCCTGCTATACTGAAAAAAATCTCTTCACTGGCCAGTCGGGGAACGACATTTAATAATTTTGGTGGTTAGGAAATCGTAACTTTTAATTTCTAGTAAAAATAACAGCTAATTAATCTTCAATCCAGCCCACAGTACATTAGAAATGTGCTATAAAAATAGCAATTGCATAGAACTACTCCTGCAAACAGACAATACCTCAGCAAGCATTTCCACAATTTTCAAAGGTGTCCTATTTGTGACTATTATTTCTGGATGCATTTATCTTTGGTAAAGTCAATGGAGTCAATTTATTTTATGAACTGATGATTTCTAGAGAGAAATTTCATGTTTTACATTTCTGCACCTTGTAGCCTTACAAAGTGTTTGCAGCTAAGGTGCTGACACACTATCCTATACTTTCACTATTTCTGCAGTTTTAACAGTGCTTACCTCCTTCAGTTTATAATCAATGGCTGTGCTAAAGGACAATACAAAATTTCTGAAAGAATATTACAGTTGCTAATTAAAACTGAATCATAGAAGGTAGAGCTGGAAAACATGCATGATGTCATCCAGTCCATCCCCATCACCACCTGTTTCCTACAATATATTCACGGGCGCTTTGTCCAGGCTAGTTTTACATGTTGCATGACACATAATTTCACTTGTAATAGTTCCAAGTGAAACAGGTTGATCAAAGCCTTTTCTGATGTTGACAAGTAGAATTAAAGGTGTAGAATATTTTTAAGGTGAGGCAGTCTATTTTCAAGTTTCTATAACAAACTTCAAATGAAAACCTATCCTATTAAGAGTAATAGTTGCTGCGCTTCCCCACACCACAGTATCTTTCACTTCAGTGTTCACAACACTAAAAATCCGACCCTTCCTTTTTGGTCCTAATGTTACAATTATTAATGTCCTGGTCATTTTCTGCTTTGATTACTTAGTGAGGTTGGTGGAGATGCCATTATCTCCCCACATTGCTCTGCCTCCAGACAAAATTATTTTTTTGTCAATTCGACCATGTCACTTCCCCCACCCCACATCTTCCAACCCCTCAATATTAAATGTACACTTCTTGTCTCCTCATCTTCAAACTCTGCACAAATGCATCCCAATTTATAGCTCATTTTTTATCCTGTCATATCATCAATGATGACAGTTTCAACACTCCCTTCTTCTACTTCCATTTTTGCCCCTTCTCTCTCACTGCCCTCTATGCATGGACAGCCTACCAATCCAGCTTCACCAGACATGTACATTCTTCTCATTTAAATCCCTCCCTACAGGCTTCTTTAGAAAGGCAAAACTAAATAAAAGAAATAATAAACATTTTAAAAGGTCTCAGTTCAGCACCATCCTTTGGGTCTCCCAGTGTGACTTGATTTCTTAATAAGGATGAAGCTGTAAATTATAAAAACCTGCCAAGCTGACAGATTTAACTGATTTTGCAAGTAATTAATAAACCAAGATATTGGCACTACTGAGTATTTGTGGTGTTCAGTCAGCACACATATTTACTCACATATGTGGCTCCCTATCAACCCAGATGGGGCAAATTCACCACTGGATTAAGCAGACTGCTATTATACTGGAATCAATGGATTGGCAATGTTTTGGCCAGTAACAAATTTAGTCTCAATGCACATATTTAACTTGTGTTAGTATTTGTGAGAGTTTGATGTATTCATGAAAGGACCTTCCTTAACTAGCTGGTCAGGTTGAAATGATATATTAAGTCTAAAATTAATATTCAAGTATCTTGTAAATTCCAAACTACAGATATTTTGCAGACCGAATAGTACTGAAGAATTAAGAAAAGGCAAACTTCTTTCACAAAATAAAATGTTAGCATATTTGCAAATAAAACGTTTTATTTAAAGTAGTGCCCATTACACTATTGGTGCTTTCCAGACATTCTAGAATGACGTTCCCTGCTCACAATCCAAGAATAGACAGATGAGAAGACACAGGATAGGGGAAAAGAAACAACAGGCAATTTGTTTACATGTCAACATGAGTCACTGTAAGCAGCATAGCAGAAGTCAATCTTTGAGAGAGGAACAAATGCATACAGAGAAGGGCCTTACAAGATAGCCCAAGGAGGTCATATCCTGTGTAAGGGGACCATGTGGAAGGTGGTAGAGAGAGGATTGTGCAAAAAGCTGACAAATGGTCAGTGAAGGTACATTGGAAGAACATGGTCAGAAGGTGATGCAAAACTCAAAGGTGGATAAGTGGCTTTGGCAGAGTTATATACTAAGTGGGGTGATGAGAAGCTTAAATGTCATGCCAGAGCAGATGAGGAGACAGTGAAAGAATTCAAAGAGGGGACTGACACAATCGAGTCAGCGGGCAAGGAAGATGACATTAGCAGCCTCATTTTGTAGGGACTGAAAGGGGAAATGTCCATGCTTAGGGAAGCCAGAGAAGTTGATTACAATATTCATGTGTGATGGTTCATTAATTGCAAAAAATAGTTAACATAAATAGTTCCATGTCCCGAAAAACAGTTATCACACTAAGGAACTTCTAGTACAAATAAAAGTTTTCCATACCTCAGCTTCATATTTGACTGCAGCTGAAAGAAGAGCAATTGCATTCTCCTCACAAATGCTTTGTTTGATAGTTTGCTGGCAAAGCTTTTTCAATCTATTTTCTCTATAGAATGTTGCCAAATCTAGCAGTCCTGTTGAGAATTAGGTAGAAAATTCACAGATATTTGGTTGTCTTTATGCAAGCCATATAAACTTGTATTTCAGATTTATCAGTTTGTTTCTCTCTGATTCCATGATCCACTTTTACACAAAACCTCCAAAAAGGCTTTATGCAAATTGAAAAGTTCACACTTATTAAGACACAAGTGCTCCATCTTTTTTGCAGTTTGCATCACATTTTAATAGCGATTATTTAGTGAACCATCTCCCCTCTCTTCAGTGATGATCTGGGCCAGCTCCCTTCCCATTTGTGGTCAAATAATGTCTGTGGCAACTACATCAAATGGAAAGATAATATTAGGAAGGTATCAGGGTCTTTTTAAAACTGTTTTAAATATGAGAAATGATGGTCCTTTTTGAATACAGTCTACATTTGCTGTTCATTTCATCCTCCCCTCCCGTTCACTCTGCCCCTTTCTTCCACTGCATCTTTGCCATCCTCCTCCTCCTGCACGATTCTCTGCTGCATGGATCACCTCATCCATGTACATGCAATGGAGCATAAAAGAAGGTTTAAAGGATAGTAAAATAACAATGAACATGATCAACTCCATCTTTCTAGAACCTGTTAAAACAAACTTTAAGTTCTCTCCTAACAGTAACTTGACATTATTTGAATTTATGCCAATTACCTATTGCATCCTCAGGAGGGAGACTGATGCTGTCTGTGTACAGATATTCCAGGAAGGCTCGGTAAACTTGATAAGAGAATTCACTCATTTCTATAATATCATCATCATTGTTATTTAATATGGAACGAAAATGCTCACACCTAATGAACAAAAATAAGACACACATGGTGAATAGTTAAGTTTGGTAAATTAACACAAGTAAGGTGTCTATATCAATCATAAAGATGGAGAATAAAATATATAATGCTGTGATAATACCATCAGATTTTTTTTGATGAGGTAGGGAGGAGTCCATTAAACTCATTGTAATTCTTTTACATGATTTATATTTTAAGTATTATACTATTCTATTCCCTGCCTCCTTTTGCAAACACATTTTAGGATTAATTAAGACAATTCTTATTCTTGAAGATCTGTTTTTCCAAACTTCTGTACCCTCTAGCTACATCATGTTATCAGTACTGTAGATTACATTTATTCTGATGTTATCATCTAGCCCTTATTTCTAAATTTAATTTAAACTCCTCATTCTCCATGTTTAAAATATTAAAACCAGAACAGTCTTAGACATATCCTTGACCATCTTTTTGTTACAATAACCAGCCTTAATACTTGCATTTAAAAACCCAGATTATGCCTGTAATATCTGTATTATACATCTTAACTTAATTATAATCCCCCAATTCTGCCACACAACAGTACCAACGTATTTGGAAAGCAGGTTATTTTTCCAGTTTCTAAAAGAATGTTATTACAATACTCAACCACTGAGCTATGGCTCCAACAATACTGGAAAGAGAGTGCCCAAATGAATCAGCTGTTAAATCTGTTGGATTGTTTTGAAGATTCTTGAGTAACCAAGCATTTTATCTGTCCCCCGTTAAAACCTGTCCTAGAATAAACACAATTTAATTTGACTTTTTTCCTCCAGCATCTTGTCTATATGCCCTACCTTAGAATTTGCTTTTCTTTTAGTCAGAAGATTTTACAACTAAGCCTGCTTGTTATATCTTCATGGGTAGGCACATTATCTCATCATAGGTCTACATGGCACAGAGAGCACTACTACCATATAAATGAAAAACAAAAATCTACTTATCAGTTATTTTACCTTCCTTTTATATTGGTCTAAATTGTTCTCTCTATATATTTTGCTTTATGTTATGCATTTTTCATGTCATGAAAATATATAAACATAAAATCACAAATCAATAAAATACTCAGGAATTATAATTTGGTTTCTCTCGTGTTATTGTGCAGGGATGTGGGACTTGAAGGGGCAGCCAAAATCCTGTACCTTTGTTTTCTGAGCACAAGGTAGGGGGTCATAGCAATGATAGTGAACTCCAATGGAGTAGAACATGGGTAGAGCCCATTAGCTCTTCTGCATTTGTGGTCAGGAATTTGGAAAGGGGGGAGTGCATGCTGCATCTTTTAAAGGGACTAGCAGTTGCTGCTCATCCATGCAATCCCCAAGTGCCCAAGGATACATCTTTTTCGGTAGGCAGAATGCCTTTGGCCTCTCCCACTTGAACAGGGCCTGCCCACCATTCCACCACTACCACCACATGCTAGTAGCCATCAATCTCACAATTTAGTTTTAGGAGTACTTACAGAACAAGGCAAAAAAAAATCCCACTGAGTTATAAAAATGCAGCAATAAAAAGGATCTCTTAAAAGTAAGGCACTCCTGATAATGCTCGCAAAGGGAAGCATTCAGCAATGGTGTGTTACATGCATGTTATCCTCTTAGCCAAGTGTGATAATAGTTATACCTTGAAGTAATATGGCTTAATGAAGCTATTAATCTGATGTTCCATCGTCTTGTAGCCAAATGTATGGATCTGTGGATTACTTACCTGTAAAGAAGTTGATGTTTATTTTATGAACAAGCAATAATTAGTAGGAGGAAAATATTTAACTTGGGAAGGAAGACACCACTTTCGGCAGAAAGGCCGGATGGGGTCGCAGTTGGATTTTGTCCTTGTAGAACACCATATATGGCGGCTCTAATGTCAGAGCTTTAATCTCCGACACTCGTCTCGCCGATGTTATCACCACAAGGAAAGCGACATTCCATGACAGGTGGGAAAGGGAGCAGGAGCCCATAGGCTCACAGGGTGAGCCCGTGAGCCTAGAAAGAACCAAGTTAAGGTCCCATTGTAGGATAGGAGCCCGGACTAGCGGGAAGCGCCTCTTGAGGACTCTCAGGAATCTGCTTCACAGGTTGTGCTGGAAATTTTCGCCCCAGCAGCTCCCATCATGTTGGCTGTGGAGCCCCCTGGAGTGGTGCCTTCATCACACTCAATATTTTGACCCTGCTAACCTGGCCCCTCCTCAGTTCCTTCTTGCCGACTACTCCACAGAAGGATGGAAGGGTGGGTATTGGAATGGACCTGAACAACACATCTGAAAGAACAACAGTTACAAGAATGTGAGTAACCATTTTTTCTTCTTCAAGTGTTTGTTCACGTCAATTCCAATGAGGTGACTCCCAAGCTCTACCCCAGAGGTGGAGTCGGAGTTAAGGAATCACTGATTAGAACACCATTCTGCTGAAAGCTGCATCATCTCTAGCGTGCTGTGTGATGGCACTGTGAGAGGTGAATGTATGCACCGAGGACCAAGTAGCTGCCCTGGAGATTTCCTATATCGGGACCTGGGCCAGAAACGCAGCTGACGAGGCCAGTGCCCTTGTGGAATGAGCCTTAAGAGGCGGGTCTGGGACCTTGGCCCATGTGCGGATACAGGCCATGATCCATGAAGATAATCTTTGAGATGAGACTGGGAGTCCTTTCATGCCGTCTGCCACTGCCACAAACAGCTGGTTCGACCTCTTGAACGGCTTTGTGCACTCAATGTAGAATGCTAACACCTGCCGAACATCCAATGAGTGCAGCCTTTGCTCTTGGGTATTGTTGTGTGGCTTGGGATAGAGGACAGGTAGACAAATGTCTTGGCTAATATGGAATTGTTAAACTACCATAGGGAGAAAGGCCGGGTGAGGTCTGAGTTGCACCTTGTCCTTGTGGACGACCGGGTAGGGAGGGTCGAAGGTAAGGGCCTTTAACTCTGACACCCTCCTGGCTGATGTGATGGCGACCAGGAAGGCTACCTTCCATGACAGATAGAGAAGGGAGCAAGTCGTCAGTGGTTCGAATGGGGGTCCCATTAATCTGGACAGGACCAGGTTAAGGTACCATGCCGGAAGAGGCTGTCTAACCCGAGGATATAGCCGTTCCAGACCCTTAAGGAAACGTCCTACCATAAGGTTAGTGAATATGGAGCATCCAGACAGGCCCCGGATGAAAGGTCGAGATAGCAGCAAGTTGTACCCTGATGGATGACGCTGCCAGGCCTTGTTGGTTGAGGTGCAGAAGGTACTCCGGGATGAGTGGTATAGAAGCCTGGAGTGGAGGAGTGTGACGTTAAGCACACCAGCAAGTGTACCTTTTCCACTTGGTCAGATATGTGGCCCTGGCAGATGGTTTTCTGCTGCTGACCAGGACCATTCTTACTGTTCTGAGCACAGGAGCTCCATTGGGTTTAGCCATAAAGCTTCCAAGTCTTGATATGGAGGGATTGGAGGTCCGGGTGGTGAAGGCAACCATGATCCTGCGTGATCAGATCGGAGTAGAGTGGTAACACGATGGGAGTGTCCACTGACAGCTCCAGAAGTGTGGTGTACCAATGCTGGCAGGGCCAGCAGAATTACTACAGCTCTGTCTCTGCGGATTTTCAGCAGTACTCTGTGCACGAGTGGGAATGGTGGAAAGGCATACATGAGATGGTCTCCCCAAGGGAGCAGGAACACATCTGAGATCGAACCTGGGCTGTGTTTCTGAAAGGAACAGAACATTGGGCACCTCCCGTTGCTCCTGATGGCAAACAGATTGACCTGGGGAAACCCCCACTTTTGGAAGATGGAATATATGACATCCAGATGGATGGCCCACTCGTGATTGTGAAACGATCTGCTGAGATGGTTCACTAGTTCGTTCTGCACACCTGGGAGATAGAACACATCCAGGTGAATGGAGTGGGCTATGCAGAACTCCCATAGCTGAAGGGCCTCCTGACATAGGGTGGAAGAGCAGGCTCCACCATGCTTGTTGATGTAAAACATGGCCGTGGTGTTGTCTGTTATTACCCGCACACTCTGGCCTTGGTGCCGAGATAGGAAGGTTTGGCATGCTAGCCGTACTGCTCTGAGCTCTCTGATATTGATATGCAGGGAGAGCTCATCCTGCGACCATAATCCTGTGTCTGGAGCTCTCCCAGATGTGCCCCCCAACCCAGAGCTGACACGTCCGTTACTAGGGACAAGGAGGGCTGGGGACTGTTGAAGGGGATTCCCTTGCAGACTGTGCGAGGGTTGAGCCATCATTGGAGGGACTCAACTACTTGTTCTGGCACCGTGACCACTGATTCCAGGCTGTTGCACCCCGTGTGGTATACAGACACGAGCCATGTTTGAAGTGGTCTGAGCCTCAGTCTGGCATGCCTCAGTCTGGCATGCCATACCACATAAGTGCAGGCTGCCATGTGACCAAGGAGACTCAGGCATCCCCTCGCGGTAGTGGTCAGCTACCTCCTGAGATTTTGGACAATGTCTTTCATGGTCTGAAATTGGGTCTCTGGCAGGAGCACCCTTGCGTGCACCGAGTCCAGCACCACACCGATGAAGTCTGTTCTTTGAGTTGGTGACAAGGTTGACCTGTTCATGTTGAGCAGGAGACCCAGCCTCTTGAAAGTCGCTCGAACTAGTCGGACTTGGGACTCCACCTGCTCACTGGTATGTCCCCTGAGTAGCCAGTTGTCGAGGTAAAGATATACCTGCACCTGCCTCCTGCGGAGGAAGGCTGCTACGAACGACATACACTTGGTGAACACTCGGGGGGCTGTCGATGGACCAAAGGGGAGGACTATGAACTGATGGTGTTTGTGGCTGGCTACAAACTGCAGAAGTCATCTGTGCGTGGGCTGAATAGCTATGTGAAAGTACGCGTCTTTCATGTCGAGGGCGGCATACCCGTCTTCCGGATCCAGGGAAGGAATAATCATGCTCAGGGAGACCATGTGGAACTTCAACTTCACCATGAACCTGTTGAGGCTGTGCAGGTCTAGAATGGGTCTGAGACCCCCCTTTGCCTTGGGTATTAGAAAATAGCGGGAGTAGAACCCCTTGCCCCTTAGCTCCTGAGGAACCTCCTCCACTGCTTCTATGGCGAGGAGTGATTGCACCTCCTGGATAAGGAGCTGCTCGTGAGAAGGGTCCCCAAAGAGGGATGGGGAAGCGGAATGGGAGGGAGGGGAAGAGCAGAATTGGAGAGAATATCCCACTTCTACCATGCAGAGAACCCAGCTATCCAATGTTATTTGGGACCATGCACGGTAGAAGTGGGATAGATGATTCTGAAAGTAGGGTTAAGGTTCCGGTATACGGTCTGGCACGTCGTCCCCGGGCGCACCTTCAAAACGCCTGCTTGGAGGCCAAGGAGGTGCGTGCCTGGCCCTGTGATGACGAGGGCTGGGACGGCTTATGCCTGCCGTTCCTACCTCGTCTTCTAGAAAAGGTAGCCTAAGCGGAGGTTGAGGTTTAAAGTGTTTTCACTGAGTAGCTGGGGTATGCATCCCCAGTGACTTCATCGTTTCCCTCGAATCCTTTAGGCCATGTAGCCTGGAGTCTCTTTGCTTCGTGAATAATCCTGTCCCATCAAAGGGCAGGTCCTGCAGGGTCTGTTGGACCTCGGGGCGTAGGCCCGAAAATTGAAGCCATGAGGTCCTCCTCATGGCTATGTCAGAGGACAAGGCACGCACCGCCGAGTCAGCAGTGTCCAGTGAGGCCTGTAAAGAGGTCCGTTCCGCTGTCTTGCCCTCCTCCACAATGGCCCCAAACTCATCCCTGGACTCTGATGGTATTAGCTCCTTAAATTTGAGCATGGAGTTCCATGAGTTAAAATTATATCTGCTCAGGACTGCCAGCTGATTAGCAATCCTGAGCTGTAGGCCCCCTCATGGAGTAGACCTTTCTAACAAAAAGGTCAAGTTTTTAGAGTCCTTGGACTTAGGCGTGGGTCCCTGCTGCCCTTGCCTTTCACGTTCATTAACCACAGACACTACCAAGGAGCAGGGCTGCGGATGGGAGTATAGATACTCGTAACCCTTGGGAATGAAGTATTTGTGTTCTACTCCCTTGGCCATTGGGGGGATGGAGGCCTGGGTCTGGCACACAATTTTGGTGGTGTTTTGAATGATCCTAATGAGTGGCAGCGCCACTCGGGATAGACCTTCTGGGCCAAAATGTCCAGCATTGGGTCCTCATGTTCCACCACCTCCTCGGCTTGCAAGCCCATGTTGCGCACAACCCTGCCTCGTCTGGGGAAGAGGATGGGGATGCAGGCAGGGGAACGGGGTCATCCTGGGCCTGTTGGTCCATGGGGACCTCCTGCTTGACCTGCTGTTCCGGATCAATGATCCCCTGTTCCACTGTAGGGGCAGGGGTCTATGCCGGTGAAGGTGCTGTAACCGGAATCCCTTCAGCACTTCTGGGTGTGGGGCGGCTGGCCAAGGCCGTTGGCAGCTTGGGCTTGGATGCCAACGACCAGGAGCCCTTGGACAAGGTACCCTGGGATTGGTGATATGCCCAGGGAGTCCAAAAAGACCATTGTGCCGGTCCTTGCAATTGAGGTGACCATGGCATTGTACCCGTGTTGGGCCATCAATGCGTTGACTGGTGTTGGCTCCAGTGTGAGTACCTAGACCCCGCATTCTGAGGACAGGGACCGGGATCTAGAGGGCCATGGCGGTGCCAATTGGCATTGGCCAGGTGAGCGGTGCTGCGAGGAAGGGGACCGGTGCCGAGACCTCGATCTGTATCGAGGGGATCGATGATGCGATGATGATCAGCGCTGGGAACGGGACCTCCGCAATCATGGACCAGTGCTGCGAGTTTGACTGGTGCCGGAGATCAGTGGCCTGGAGATGCAGGCGGGCGCACCATTGTTGGCTTGCCATGGCTAGCACCCTCGGCACTGCAGGGGGCTTGTTGCAGAGACTCAGAGACCACGGTGCCATCATGGCAATGAGGTCCCGCGCGGCCTAGAAGGTGTCCGGAGTTCACGGTAGTCCCACCTCCTCTACCATATGGATTGGGGAGTCCAACAGTCCCGGGCACAATTGTACACCTTGCATGTCTGAAGTTCCCAGAGCCAACTTCACGGGTCTTGGGGCCAGGTGTTCCTCTCTGGGACGTGCCCCATTGGTCGAGACTGCAGGGGAGGGTCTGACAGGAGATCCGCCTCTACCCTGCTTGGCGTGCTTCTTCTGCGGTGCCAGAGAGTGGGACAGGTCCCAGGCAGTTCTCACAGTCTTAGGCCCGGGGGACGGCGGTGCTGTGAGTCTCTGCTCGGTGTCGGGTCCTGCTGCACTGAGGTTGGCTGTGGTTTAAGAGCCGCCTCCAGAGGGAGCTGTTTCAACCTGAAATCCTGCTCCTTTCTGGTTCTGGGCCCAAAACCCTTGCAAATCCTGCACCTATCGGCTTAGTAAGCCTCCCCAGACACTTTAAACAAGCGTTGTGGGTGTCGCCCATTGGCATGGCTTATTGCAGGACTTGCAGGGCTTGAACCCCGGGGATCGAGGCATGCCCCGAGGTCCCCAGGGGGAAAGGTCGGGGTGGAAGGGAAACCCTCCACTCCTAACAGAACTACTACTAACTAATAAAAACCAGAACAACTATAAACTACTAACATAACCTACACTAGAAAGCTAGGGGAAGCAAATAGAACTTGTAAGCAAGCCACTTGCGGTTCCAACAACCATCACAGGTGGTAAGAAGGAACTGAGGAGACGCCGGGTCAGCAGGTCATATATTGAGCACCATGAAGGCGCCACTCCAGGGGGCTCCACAGCCGATCCGATGGGAGCTGCTGGGGGAAAAATTTCCAGCAACTGTGCACGTGGCGTGCGCACACCTGATTGGAATCAACGTGAACAAACACTCGAAAAAGAACCACAGTTACTGCAGGGTAACTGTTCTTTCTCATTTAAGTGATTGTCCACACAGATTCCACTCTAGGTGATTAACAAGCAGTTATCTTGAGCCTGGAGGTGAGAAAGAAAAGGCAATTATTTACAAAAATCTACAAAGAATTCAGAAAGGTTCTAACTTGTTTGTCTATGACAAAACTCTAAACTCTTAACGAACTACTTTTCATGAAAACACTTCCTAAAGCAAGGTGCATCAAATATTCAAGAGGCCTGGGCACTGAAGGCTTTCCATCTCACAGTCACAGGTGGTAAGAAGGAACTGAATGGCGGCTGAGCACATGCATCCACCAAAGCCAAGGGTAAGGACGTGCTGGGGTGCAGCTCCAGCAGACATGGCTTTCAAAGGAATTTGATCCCAAATGCATACCTAGAGTGGAATCTGTGTGGACAACATACCTCAAAGAAGAACAAGCCATTTCAAGCAAAGATGGCAGAATGAAGGTGTGTATCAGAGTGCAGGAGATGAAAGGAGCACATGGAGAAAAGATAACAATGTAGGGAAGTAGTGGAGTACTAGGATATGAGAGCAGAGATGTAAATTGAGGCAAGATTAATTAATGTGAAGCCAAGGAGCTTGAATTTGATGCAATAACATCCAGGAAATCAGTGAAAGGATTCAAGATGAGGAAAAGGAAGATGGAGAAGCGATGATGGTAATCAAGGCAAGAAGCAGGTTTTGGCAGAGGAGGTACATTAGTCAGGAAGGGGCAAATTATTGTAAAATTAAAGAGGATGAAGAAAAAAAGAGTTATCAAGAGAGTGGAGATGGGATGAGAAGCAGTATGGTCAAGTGAACCGGACATTAGGGTGGGGGTCAGGAGACCTGGGTTCTACTTCCAGTTTTGCCACTAACCTACTGTGTGACCAGTTTTGGAGATATTCTGAAAATGTGCTATGCTTTTTGCTTCCACAAATAACATCATATGAAAATCTGTTCTAACAATAACATGCAGACTCATTTAATGGAATTTACACAACTTAATAACATCTGCATATCAATCAGTTAGATTGGAAAGTGCTATTAACCTGCAAATAGTTGTGAACACACAAAGGGAGATCAGTCTGAAATTCAGGCCCACCAAGTTAGTCAAAGAAATAACTAAGACATACAGGATGTGAGATTGGACAGAAAGGGATAGGTTGGAAGTAGACATGTACATTTGGGAAGCATCCAGAGAAGCAGCACTTGAAACAATTGGAGGTGATTATGTTGCCAGCTGGAAATAGAGGATAGAAGGGACCAAGGACAGAAACCTGAAAAACATGAACTCCTGGGTGAGAGGGGAGGATGCAGAGCTACCAATGAAAGTGATAAAGAAGAGATGAAGGAAGAGAGAATCAGAGGGCCCCAAGTGTGGAAGTCAAGAAAGGAAAGGAGGAGAAAGTGATCAACTAAGGAGAAGGCAGCAGAGAAAGAAGACAGATAAGTGCTCCTTTTTCCTAGCAAGGAAAAGATCTTAACAAGCTTGATCAGGATAGTTTAGACGCAGTAAAGAGGGTGGAAGCCAGACTGGAGGAGAGCAAGTAAAGAGTATAGGCAACAGGATTAGGCAGTGTGCTATGAAATTTTTGGATCCAAAAGGAAGGGGAGGAGGAAATTAGGCTAATACTTAGAAAAGCAGGTGGTTTTCAGCATAAGGCCTGCTCATAATCACACAGGAAAGAAACCAAATATCAACAGCATTAAACAGTATTACTCAGCATGAGTAAAGTGTTGATGTTATTCCTTGAAAATTCCTTACCTAATTTTGAGAAGGACTTTATGAACATGAATATATTTTCCATCCACTAGAAACTTCAAGTCTGCAGTGTCAGGGTTGTCAAATTCCTTCTTCAGTGATTGGGCTACTGTTAGGTGGTCATCAGGTTCTAAGATAACAAAGGTATTTAAGAGTTATTGATGAATAAATAACAATGTTCCATATCTCATGATTCCTGGCTTTAAGTCAGCATATCAATGAAAGCAATGCTGTTCATAAACACAACCTTCCACTCAAGACCAGTAACACAACAATAATGTTAGAGTATGGACCTCTAGAACAGGGAGTAAAGGCTATGTCACTACAATTCCTACATGACTATCCACTCCAAACAAATACGTATCTCAACTAAAAAAGAGGTCCACCATGTATCTCTCAGATAAGTTTCACCCTAGTACAGGAATATTGCCTACCATCCAAAAAAATCTCAACAGTCTCAGAAGTTTAATGTTACAATCGGTAGTACATATTATCAGTTACTTTTACTTGTTTAAATTTTAAACTTGTTACTTATTTTATCAGAAAGTGTTTATTTTTCAAATTATTTATTCTGGCATATGTACTAGAAACATAAAATCATATAGGAATCTGCTAAAAAAGAAAAAAATTCTGTTTTAAATACTTCCATTATGAGAGATGCCATTTCACATCAAGAATAGCAAAACAAGTGAATACATCCATAAGTGCAGGTGAAGTGTCCTCAATATAACAGCCTTACAGCTAAACACTAACAATTCTATACAGCTATTGGAAAAATGAGCTTGCTTCAGTGGTGCTATTTAAAAGCATTGCATGTATTAAATTCTGTATGTCTATGCATGTATGTACATATATACATACTACAGTCCTCTGTGATACCTCTGTGACAAGTCTATCATATAGCCTTGACATTCTCATCTGC